GAAGGCAGCTCGGCCTCGTCGGCGCCTGGCAAGTGAGGAGGAGGAGGAAGGAGGAGGAAGGAGGAAGGGAAGCGCCCCGGGCGGGCGGAGCGGCAGAGCCGGACCGGGTGAGTGAGTGAGTCCGGGGCCGGTTTCAACCCCGCCGGAGGCTCCCCTTGCAGGGCGAGAGGAGGGCCCCGCTCTCCTTCTCAGAAGGGTTTCCAAACCCGGCGGGGGGGGGGGGCCACTGGGAACCTCCCCCTCCGGCTTGGCTTCCAAGGCCCGGCTCCTGGCCCTGGTGCCACCCCAGAAGGGCTGGGACCCCCCCCCCCTCCCTAGGGCCCCCAGATGCTAAGCCCGCACTTGGGAGAAAGGCAGGGCATGGAGGGTCTCCCCGCGGGTGATGCAGCTGGCAGTGTAGATCTCCGGTATAGTCAGTTCTGGGCGAGGGTGCTCCTAAGCGCTCAGCTGCCAGCGTTGTAAGGGTAGAAAAAAGTTCTTCTGTGCTCATCACTTGCCGGCAAGGGTTTCCTTTTCCTCTGTGTTGATGTGCTGTTTGGCATCTTGTTCAGCTGATCTTTCAATTGTTCTAGGGTTTTGTGGCAGTACCAACAAAAAATCCTGATGGTACAATGAATCTCATGAATTGGGAATGTGCTATTCCAGGGAAGAAAGGGGTAAGAGATGCCTGCTTTTCTCAGCATAACCCATGTTTAATGCCTGTTTCTGTCTATATGTGGTAAATGCTTGAAAACTTTGAATGGGTTTTCTTAAACATATGCAGACAGTATCTTGTAAAACCATTGGTCCAGAAACCCAGTGAAGACTCTACCAATGTGGATCTTTTAGAAGACGTCCTGCATTTATCTCCTAATTTTTCCTGCTCTTAATATGACGTTTTGCAGTAGGATCATTCACAATTGTAGAATAACATTGAGCTTCAGGGAAGTAAAAGTTACATGCCTTTAAGAGGAAAAAGTAGCCGTGAAGCATAAGGCTGTGATTATTCTAGTCTTTTTGTATTTTCATAAAGGTTTGGACTTCTTTCTTTCCTGCTGTTGCAGCAGCCATTTTTGGAGGGTCGTCTTGTGTGGCTACCTTGCTTCTCTCTGGAGAGTATGCTGGCCATGACAACTCAGCTCTTAAAGAGAAGGGTCTCTTGGCAAACATCTACCTTCTGTGTTTTTACCTACAGACACCATGGGAAGGAGGCTTATTTAAGTTACGGATGCTTTTCAAGGATGATTATCCCTCCTCACCCCCAAAATGTAAGTCCAGTGAGAGAAAACATTTCTTGAGAAATGCTGCAAAAGGACATTCTTGTTAGAAACAACACAATTTCACATATGTATTGTGAAATTCAGTCTGCAACCGGGCAAAAATTCTTAACAGTGTCTCCGTGCAAATGCCTAGCAGAGAGATCTCTGAAGGGCCTCCTCCTCTTCCCCTGTTTCCATCTGCATCAGTTCTTGGGATCTCCAAGCACAAGGGAAGCCTGTTGTGGACCATGGGTCTCTGTCTTCTTACAAATCTCGGCAGACTATTGACAGCTGCATCTTCTGGTCAAGAGACTGCAGAAGGCTTTTCAGTGGCCCTTGAGGGTAGCCGTTTCAGTCCTTTAGTTGCTGGGTTGTTTTTGCTATATCAGTATTGCTGGTTTATGTGTGCCCTTTGGGCATAGAAAGGCTTTGTGCTTCCTATATTCTACAACATAGCAGTACTTGGTTAAATGCCCACAAATGAGTAGTTCTGTTTGTGGCTTTTTGAAAATATACTGTAGAATAATATTTTTTTAAAAAACACACTATTCTTTCTTAAATCCCCATTTCATTTAAAAATATGTAGGCCAGAATCCTATTGGTGTTTACTTAAGCTTTGCAGAACTTGCTGTAGCTGATTCATCGTGTGACAGGGCTTGCCTAGGTCACATGTCCAGTTGTGCTACCAAAAGGCATCCTGGCACCTCTAGCTGCAGCTGGCTGGGAAAAGTTATGCAAACTTTATGTGAGGGCCGACCATATTCTGACTTCTTTTTATAACTCCCCAGTTCCTTCAGTAATTAAAACATTCTCTTGTGCAGGCAAATTTGAGCCACCATTATTCCATCCCAATGTGTACCCCTCAGGCACAGTGTGTCTGTCTATCCTAGAAGAGGATAAGGATTGGAGGCCTGCCATCACAATTAAACAGGTATGCATTTCTGTTGTGCTCTGCCCCCACCCCCAGCCTGTTACCCAGTGGGTGAGATTTGGCTGCAGTAATTTCTCTATAGAGTACATAGGGTGGCTGCATTTAAATCAAGCAGAATTTGGCCTTTGACTGGGCATGCAATCATAAAAACATGGAAAAGGCCTTGTACCAGGTCTGGTTAGCCCAAGGTTGTGTATTCTTGACTAGCCTAAGGTGGAGACTTCTTTCATCCAGATTGACCTGCTTCCATGGAATGAACAGCTGTTTCTTACATACTTCTCAGGCTACAATTTAATAGAAACTTCTGTTGCCCAGAATATCACCCCAAATGTCTGAAGCACCAAGATGGGCGGCTGGGAGGGTGAGGGGGACGTAGTGTCCATACTTCTTCTTTGTAGCTACTTTAGGAAAGGGTCATGGACTTAAGCTGTGGTGCTCCACACACTGCCCGCCTTGAGGACTCTAGCAAACAGGGTGGCTACCCATAGAACCTAACCTCAGAATAAAGCTGAACAGAATTGGGCTGCACCTATGCAGAGCTCTCCAGAGGTAAGGTCATTGGGGTGCACAGAACAGCATCACTCCACCACATAACCTGTGCCCAGGAACTTCCTTAGAAAATCAGATCTTAACAAGGTGTTTTTGAGTGAGGGGCACAGTTTCAGTTTTGAGAGACTGCACAGACTTTATCTTGTCTTACATTTTTAATGGACACTTAACAGATTATATATTTTTTATTTTAATCTAGTCTGCTAGTACAGTAAACAATCCATGGTCAAACTACAACTCAGGCAAAGTAGAATATACAGTTCACAGCAACCTTTTTCTTATCTCCTCTGCTCACAGATCTTGTTAGGAATTCAAGAACTCCTAAACGAACCAAATATTCAAGACCCAGCTCAAGCAGAGGCTTACACAATCTACTGGTGAGTTGCCCATTATACCAGAGTTGTGTGTGGCAATTAGCAGGTGTCCCATTAGTGTTCATGGATGGATGGCATAATGTGCCATAGCTAACTAGCCATGTGGCTGGTCACACGCCCAGCTTCACAACTGAGATGTGCCACCCCATCAGTTACCTACAATTCGTTGTGTAAACTGTGGAGGTTTTATAGGAACACCAATAGGATTCACCCTGTACTACCCGTTTTGTCGAAGACCATTCTGAAAACAAGGATTGCAAGCAAAATGTATTTGAAGGGCTGGCACCAAGACAGTCGAGCTACAGAAAAGATTTTGTCAGAACATCAGGATGTATCAAGCAGTTTGGTCTGGAAACAAATTGTTCTCCTTTGGTGGAAGTGCTCCAGCAGGTGCCAGTTGGCATCCTTTCAGGGATGCTCTCAGCAGCAGCTTTCTTTTCATGGTGATACTGAAGGTACACCAGGCTACAGCTTTTTCTTTAAGTCAACTGAGCGATTCATCAGGCTCATGTGGTGTGAGCACTTTAAGATGGTTTGCATTTTAAAAAACAAACACACATCTCAGTTTAGCCTTAAGTTCTTGATGCTTCACATATGCTGCCAGTTAATCTTTGGACAGCTCTGTAAAGCAGGGCAGTTCCATTCCTTTTGCCAAAAGAGGAGGTGGGAGTGGTAATCCGGAGCTTCCATCTTTCCCAGTCACCACTTACCCCACCTTGTGCCTGGCTCTCTGAGTGCACAGGTTATGTCTCTCAACATTGGCCCATTTGGAGGTTGGGAATGTTCATTTTTTGCACCATGACTCCCCAAATGAGATTGTAGGAGGTGCAGTCCAGACGAACTGCTTTGCCAAACTCTCCACACTTCCGAGTTTCCTTTATTGGGTCATAGCGCAGAATGGAAAGAGGCTCTTTTTACTAGTCACAAAATAGATTCTTGCACCATGGTCTTGCATCGTCATCTTGCCCAACTAAGGAGAACCTAACAAAGAATTCCTTGCACACTGATGTTTGAAAGTTAAGCCCTCTTTCTCTTTTTCTGTAGCCAAAACAGAGTGGAATATGAAAAGAGGGTTCGAGCACAAGCCAAGAAATTTGCACCGTCATAAGCTCCTGTCATCCAGCATCTTTAAAGGAAGGGATTAATTGGCAAGAACTTGTTTACAAAACTTTTGCAAATCTAATGTCGCTATGTACAATTAATAGTCACTTAGGGGAGGGGGTTGTATGTGTGCCATTTTCCATATTCGCCACTTGTATACAGTTCTAAATTTGCTGAATTGCCCCCAATTTTTTCATACAGGGTCTCTTCCTTCAGTCTTTTGTATTTTTGATTGTTATGTAAAACTTGCTTTTATTTTAATATTGATGTCAGTATTTCAACTGCTGTAAAACTATAAACTTTTATACTTCTATAAATTCACTAGTATCTCTAGTTTCTTTGCTCTCTGATGAAGGCATGCTTTGAACTGTTTAGAAGTATATTTTGCCTCTACTTGGCTGTAAGAAAAAAAACACACACATGCCCTCCACCCCCTTTTGTTTTCCACCCATAAGGAATTAGGTTGTTGTTGCTTATAAGCCTCAGATCCAAAGTCAGCCAGCATCTTGATTCTGCGTCACTTCCTTTGTGTTTATGGCGTTCTGTCTGTGTTGCTGTTTAGAGTAAATAAACTGTTTCTATAAAGCCTTTTGTCTCATTTTCTTCCATAAAGACATGCTAATTCTAAAGAGACTCCTCTGGGAAGCATTAATTTTCTCAGTGGAATACAGGCCATGCCCAGTCCAGGTGGCAGGAGTGAAACCTGTTGTCAGTCCAGTTATTCAAAGTGAACACACTTCAAAGCAAGGGGGTAGTCTCAGCTCATGTGTCAATAGAAACCCCTTTTAGTGTCTAGAGATCAGTCTAACCAATACAAACCTGTTCCAAACGTGGTAGGAATGAGTATACAGCATGCTCTTCTCTGAAGTTACCATTTTATCAGAAGCTGCTTCAGAGGATTTCCGCACCCTCTGAGCAAGTTGTTGGGATTCACAGACACCTGGGGAGGAAAGATTGTTGGCATGGAATCCAGCAGAAACCCTCAACTGGTTCTTGGATTCCATATGGTAACAGCTGAAAAGGCTTTTGTCTAGCCTCACAGCAGGTAATAATATTATACACTGCACTGTTGCAACAGATTCAAGTTATAAAGTATAAATAAGTAAACATTTATTAACATCATTTATACACCAAGATGGAGCTGGGTGCTTCCAAGAAGTCACAAATATCTTCCTTTGAGATAAGAGTTGTTCCAGCTTTTAATTTTTTTTAAAGCAGGGCCACAAATTAGCTCTTAGGTATCACGAGACCAAAGAAACCACACAGCTTTATGGTTTCAATAAGGTCGAAGTTAGGCTGCTCTACAATGGTGGCCTGGCCTTGGCAATGGAGCCAGGAAAAGCACACAATACCAAGAAGATATCAAGCTGATTGGCAATTTATCAGGGTGTATGTCTGGTCTTCAACATGTTCTAACGGGGCTTGTAAGCTCCTGAAAGCAGTGATCCCTCTGGATTATGTGGCATGGCAGTTGCCATCAACACCAGCCGGTGGAGCCAATGGTGATCAGAAGGACAAGTGCAGGACTGCCTACCCCACGACCCTGCAGGTTGAGGCTCACAGGTCGGAGGGACTAGACGAAGTGACCTGAAGCACCCTTTAGGCAGCCTAAATCTCAGCTCAGTAGACAGAGGTACTACCCAGTTTATACTCCTGCAATGTACTGTTTGTGGGCCCCATTCAAAACAGATTGGGAACTACAGCTGGTTCAGAAAAAGGCTGTAAAATTATGAAGGGACTAGGCAGTCTGAACACACAACACTGGCACTTTCCTAGCTGCACAGGTTTCCCATCATACTCTTGAGATCCATGTAATGTGGGACCTTCAGAGATTCTGGTACACACACACACACATACCACCCCCAGCCTTTCCTCTGGCAGATGAAGACCTGGTCAGTCAGATTGTAAGACCAGTTATTGTAAGATAAGTATCTTACAATAACTGGTCGTACAATCTGACTCACACCTTACGATCACTGTCTTTTGGCACACCCAGATAACTAATTTTGTGGGTGGCAACATATTTACATATAGCAACAAAATACTCTTGAGAATTTTTAAAAAAATCTATTTTTAAATTAGCATACAGCTTAGAAATGGTCAATGTTTATAATGTTATGAAATCATTTTGAAAGAACATATTTCATCAACGTTTTTAAAGCTCTCCATTACAAGGAAGCAAACACAATTAGGCCTCCATTCCAGCATAATGGGACCTTCCAGGGCTTTGGTCCGCCTTCCTTGTCCAAGTTGTCCTGAGGAAGAGGTTTGGGATGGGTGTGTGTGTGTGAGGAGGACTCCAGTGTCTAGTCCTGGACAGAAATGGCATTCTGAGGGGAAGGCTCTGGGCCTCAGCGTGCAGCTCCTCCATCTTCTAGTCACCACCACCATTGAACTGAAGGCATTTAGGGACCTGGCTCTCTTATGACGGATTATCACCGTGGTATCAAGACAGCTAGGATTGCCCTGGATTTCAACTGCCTTTCCTTTGACTTTGATAAATCTCCCCTCCTCCTATTTTTGCTTCAAAAAGGTCAAAGCCCCACAAATACAGAACGGGGGGGGGGGGGGTTAGGGGAAGACGATGAACAGCCTGGTATTTCTGCCTGCACACGACTTAGCTGCACTCCATTCACTTGACAGAACACCGGCATCTATATACTCACAGCCTAGTTTCGCAGGTGCTGGACCAAGTGACCTCACTTTTTTTCTATTGAGAAAAGGTCAGCATAATAGAATGTGCAGCCCTGTTTATCCAAAGCCTTTTGTAGTTACAGTTGGCTTTTTGCTCTTTTTTCAGACAACTCACCCACCCAGAAATGTGGTCCAGGGTTAAAACCATGAAAGGGCTTGCCCAGAAGATCTATCCATGGTGGTATCTGTCTGTTCCAGAGCAGAAGAGGACTTAACAGAACAGAGACCTAATAAGGGTATGACTGCCAGGGAGTTGTTTCCGCCTGCAAGGGCCTCCTCTTGTGCTGTTTCTTTTCTACAGTTACTGTCTTGACCTGTTGTTACTACAAAGATGCTACCATCAGCCCTGCTGAAAGAAAATATATTGGAGGGACAGTCCCGCCTTCTGGTCAATTTTCTTTCAACCTGTAGAGGCACTGTTTTTGTAGCAGTAATCACTTTAAACATTTACTGTGGGAAAGAAGCCCTGTGACTGGGATGCTACATACATGGATCTCCTGAGCAAATCTAGTAAAGGCAAGGCCTCCTCCAACCAGCTGAAGCAGCCTATCAACCAAAGGACACCTCCTCAAGCTCCTTCTAGGAACAGTGATACTAACAACATTAACTGGGGTCTCTCCTACACAGTCCAAGTGTGCAGAGTGACCCTGAACTCATTAAGAAGTGGACCCTATGACTCCATTCTGCAACACTGATCTGCTTGTATGCACACTCAAGGGTGAGAGCCCTCATTTCTCATTTCTTCGTTTTCTCTCTCACACACAGCCAGGTCACCAGGTGTTGCATTCAGGTCCTCGCTGCTGCTGCTGCTACTCTGGTGGCTGCTGTGGCTTTCATCGTCATTTTCTGATGTTTCTTCACCTGAACTTTCATCCTCTTCAGTTACACTACAAAGGGAGACCAGTGTTATAAAAGTCAACAATAATCCCAGAAGACACGTAAAAGAGACATGCAAAGGACTTACGTTTTTATTCTGTCAGGTCTGTTGGGATTAAAAAATGCCCTTCCAGAGTCAATATCAAAGGGGTCTGAGAAGAAAAGGCAGGAATAGTTAATTTCTAAATTCTCTTTGTCTTCTTTATAAATAGCAAATGAAAAACATTTATTTGTTTAAATTTGACCACTTAGATAGAATACATTGGCCCAATCTGTATACAGATAGAATACATTGGCCCAACCATATAACCATCTGGCCTTGGGTCCTTGGTGCCCGTCCAAGAGAAGGGCCACTCGGCTGAGCAGGTTTTGACGTCTTTGTCTCATACACCCTGCCTGCCCTTCTTACACTCCTGTTCTTTCTTACCTCATGGGAGAAACCCTGCCCCCCCCCCACCACCACAAGGTCAGGAACAAGGAAATGTGGAAACCATTTACAACCCCCAAGGATCTACTGCTTGCCAGGCATCCATCCACAAACAAAGTTCTTGTTTGTTTGTTTTTTTGTTTGTTTTAAACTTTATAAATGGCATGAAATATTTCAGGCTAACGGAAGGAAAAAAATAGGTACAAAAGGAACAGATCCCACTTAAACCAGAATAAAAGCAGACTACTTGCTGGTATGGGGACAGAACACAAATAGAGTAGACCAGTACACTGGACAACACAGTGGCTAATGAAAACAGCCAGAGAATTGGGGGGGGGGGTTAAGCTTGTACTGGAAATATGTAGAGAGAGGGAGAGACATCATGTTCTGGTGTTTCTAGGTTAAGACTCCAAGCCAAGAAGAGAATTTGAATGCTTGCTTATAAAGGATTACACAAATACAATTACTTCTAAAAAAAATAGCAGTATCTCTTTGCATCAGCAAAATCAGAACAAAGAAACTGAAGTCTTGCGGCATCTTTTTAACTTGCAAATTAATTTTAGCATTATCTTTGGCAGACCGCAATCTCCTTCTTCTGTAACCAACAAGTTCACCGGCAGTGTTAATAATTCACTTGTTGTCTTCTGCCTCCCCATTTACCTGTTCCCCACCACATGGCCTAATTATTGCCGTTTTTTGTTGCACCCCCATCAACTCTGGCTCACAAGCAGCCACAGAGCTTCGCTCTGTTTCTGGTGCCCTTTTCAGCATTCAAATGAAGCTGCTGGGAGATCTAAACCTTCACAGAAAGACTTGGTGGACAAATCAAGAGCTGTGGCGTATTGAAATAGCGAAACAATATTGGAAAAGAGTACATGCTATGTTGGAACAAATATTGCTCTGTGAGGTGCCATTAACCCCAGAACTGTTTTTATTGAGTATGATACCTGAAAATATAGATGTCAAAGGATTATATAGTTATATACATAGTTACAGCAGCCAGAATTCTATATGCTAAAAATTGGAAAAGACCAACGGTACCGAAACAAGATCTTATTGAAAAGATACGGGAAATAGCTGAAATGGACATTTTAACAGAAGTCATGAAGGACTATCCCTTGCAAAAGGCAACAGAAAGATGGGATCTATTTAACAAGTGGACTGAATCAACAGGCAACTTATGAATAGCATATATTGAAATGAGAACTTAATCTAGAAGGCAGAAAAGAATAAGTAGAATAACTTAAAATCTTGATATGGCAATAGGTACAGAATGGATGGAAATATGTTATTGTCTCCCCTCTTCCTCATCAATTCCAATTCCCTTTTCCTTTCTGTCATCCCTTATATTAAAAAAATATTAAAAAAAATAAACCTCAATGACAACAGTAAATGGACAATACTCAGTCCAGGCTACAGTTCCGTTTAAGGCAAAGGTCTCCAAACTATAGCCCGCAAGCCACATATAGCCTGCCTTGCCTTTTTATTCAGCCCAGCAGGCATGCAGGAGTGAGTGCATCACTGCGGGGGTGAGTGTGTGCAGGTGGGCATATGCGCATGTGTTTTCCTTTGGCCCTTGAAAATATGGAAAATATATGATGTGGCCCTCAGTGAAAAGTTTGGAGACCCCTGGTTTAATAGAAGGCAGAAGGCAGTGCAACTCTTCCAAGAAGAGCCTCGTGGCGCAGTGGTTAAAATGCTGTACTGCAGCTAAAACTGTGCTCACGACCTGGGGTTCAAATCCCAGGTAGCCGGCTCAAGGTTGACTCAGCCTTCTATCCTTCCGAGGTCGGTAAAATGAGTACCCAGCTTGCTGGGGGGGCAATGTGTAGCCTGTATAATTAAACTGTAAACCGCCCGGAGAGTGCTTGTAGCACTATGGGGCGGTATATAAGTCCAAAAAAAAAAGAAAAGAAAAGAAAGAAAGAAATGTCCTGATGTGGTTCACCTTGGGAAGAATAAGCAGAAATGTGCTCTGGGAAAGTCAAATTCTATTTCTCCTTTTGAGACCGTCCAGGGCAATTACAGAACAAACTACCTGCTCACCTTGCATCCTTTGATCTCCAAAAATACAGCAACAAAAAAGGTAAGTGATTTGGCCTGCCTTATGCACAATGTTTCAATGTAAAAACAAACATGGGTGGCCTCTCACCTATATTATCTTTTTCTTCCTCTTGGGTATGAGCCAGAAATTCTCTTTCCACTCTCAACACATCCTCTTCACAGACACAAGCTGCATATTTCTCCAATAGATCGCTATTCAGATCAAGAAATTGTTTTCCCCATTTAAATTTTTGCAGGAGAACTGTGGCAAGATCAGAAAAACCTACAATACAATAAAAGTAACCAGTTAACATTTTTTAAAAAGGAGATTTACTAACCAAGGTCCAGGCCTATGTCTCTCAGAAGTTGGGCTGTTGCAGCCACACATAGAAACAAAGAGAAAATGCACAGGGTGATAATTTCTTAAGTGAGACTGAAGTATGTACACTACTGAAAATACAACAAAAAACAATAACTTTTATTATGAACTTGGTGTGAATCCCTAAAACACACAACTTGTTCTATGAACAGGGACCCATGCTGTGCGCGTCACTGGGGCAGTGCTCAAAGGAGGGAGGGACAGGCAATGGCAATGGACATCTGCAGACAAAAGGCTCTCACAAGCCTGGACACACCCTAATCTTTCTCCAACCTGCCCTAATAATTAAGGAAACCTGCGGCATGGATGCATAGGAAAAAAATGAAAGAACTAAAGAAAGAAAGCCACTGAACAGCTATTTTGTCCTCCTCCTCACCCACAATGCAGAGAGTTGCAGCAAAAGCTTCCACACAGGACAGTTTCCACGGCCGCCCATAGTTCACTGGATTTGCCGCCACCAAGTAGGGCAAGAGCCGGAGATGGTTTCCCTTCATCTTGCTAAATGGGGTCTCCTGCAGCTTCGCCCAAGAGCAGTCAATCACTGCAATCCCATGCTGGGCCACCACCGGCCTGAAAGGAGAGCAACCTCAGCTTCAAGTCAGGGTCCTGCTGGGTCCTCTCTCTCTCCCCCCCCCCACACCCCAAAGGGGCCTTGATAAAGACCTGGCTGTAGGCAAGGAGGGGGGGGGGAGGAGGAGAGCGGCGGCTGCACCAAGAGCAGACAAACCGCCTTCCTGGGTCTGAGCCTCTGCAGCCTTCCTTTGGCTTGACCCACGATGGCCTCTGAAGGAGGCGAGCCGTCCTAGGCCCTCCTCAAAGAGAAAGGCCGGGCAGGAATATTCTAAACCAACCAACCAAACATCCGCTCCTCTTCTAAGCCACGGGAGCCTCCTGAGGAGGAAGACAGGCAAGGAGCCCGCTCGTCCTCCACCGGCTTCCCAGCAGCGACTCCGGCCGGGGTCTTTCCCTCTCTTTG